CACCACTGAATCGTTTAGATGTAAACAGTGGAATATTTGCCGTTTTTTAGAATCGGTAGTCAAATGTGAAACGCGCAGAATGGTAGTAACGAAATATTTTCTTAGCATTTTGGTCAAGGTCCGATGCAATTGCTTCTCAAGGAATGGACGTTAAAAGCATCGAAAACATTCGATTTTGGGTTGTGACATCGAACTAGCTCTGTGCTAGCCTCAGAACTGAATGCGTAACCTGGCGTTATATGTCGAGGTTCAAGCTTACTGTCTGGCCTCTCAACCTGGTCCACTCACTGGTCTTCCAAAGGCGCTGGAATCTTTGCGACGTTTCGATCTTTGATGTGGAGGTTTTTTTGTTTTTGAGAGTTGATCGACGAATGTGGCGCAAGCATATACTGGTGTGTAACTACTTTAGGAAGTTTTTCATTATCTCGAGCGAAGAATGTGTGACCTCTGGTTGTATATTCGTGGGAAAGCTGACTGATGTATATTTCATGATTTCGCAGGTCATTGGTTAGCGAAACCTACCTGTTGCGTACCTGGCTCAGAACTTTTGTCTTTTGCATTCTGACTTTGTTTGTTCTGCGAAAGTTCCTTCAGGCGTGGACGCAGCGCTACCCAGATGTCGGTGGCTTGCGAGAGGTCAAAAGCTTGCAGAAAAAAGGTGTTCCTGCGCGTTTCTTTTAAACATTTGGGCTTTCTATGTAAAAGACACTTACTTTTCGAGAGAGATTTATAGAGTAAGACATACAGAGAGAGACGCATACGCGCACAGACATAGATACACGCACACAGAGACCCACGCAACTCGCATTCTAACTTCACACGTGGTGAAAAATGCATTCGGGCCACTCGTCGTCTAGTTTTTTAGATGGCTCCCATTGAGACTTTTTGCCACCAGGCCTGCAACCCGAAGAGTGGACGAGAGGCACATCCGAAGATCAAACCATAGTGCCATAGAGACCGAAGAGATGCAGAAGATGCCAAACATCGTAAACCATGCAGACTGAGTTCAGAAAGTTTTGTTCAGACCGATGCTTCATTCATCCGCAATTCTGCACACATCGAGGGTGAATCCGCGGTCTGATGCACAGCCTCCCCGACCTACGACGTTGGATTCTCATCCGAATGCCAGACGCGAAAGCGTCGCAGGAACCATGATGAATGGTTGGTGGGTTTGTTGATGTTGGTTGCTTTGTTTCAGGTGCTTATTTGCAATCTGCACTTCGATGCCCCATGTTTCGAGGCCATGCATGAATAGAGGAGGTGATGGCGTCCAGCTCTCAGTTTTCAGCTATCCATTCCATCAAGAATCTTGAACCCTCGTGCAAGGTGCGTCGAAAGAGGATCAGTTCTGCTGGAAGGCTTTGTTGTTTTTTTTGTTGAAGGCCATCGCTTCGAAGTTGGAGGCCATCGCTATTAGGTTGGAGGCCATCGCTATTAGGTTGG